TTTCAAATATGTAGAGAAGCTCCTGAAGGATTGTCGCCCAAAACCACCCCACGTGCACATGCTGTGCAAGGAAAAAAACATGGGCAAAGCAGGCTTCCTGTCTCGCTTGAGCGTCAATATGAGTTGGCCGAGGCGGTAAGGGGATAGAGACCGAAGTTAGGCTTTAAGGATACAGTCGCTAGCCGCTTAGAAGAGGAAGGGTCTGAGGAGGAGGCCGAAGGCGATCCGTTCGAAGATGAGTAGGGGAATCGTTCTTATCACAAGGAGGAAAGTAACGCCGAATCATATATTTTTTATTCAAAAAACATATGCTTATTTAAGTAGTATGAAAATACTTATTATTGTTTTTATACGTAGTCCACTATAGAATTTGCTTTTCTTAAAATGTTTCACCATTCATTTTATTTATTTTCATTTTTGTTTTTATACGTAGTTCAAGATAGGTGAAACGGTGTGATTGAAATTTGAAAATGAAAAAATAATTTGTGCTTACCAAACAAATCATTCTTTAGAATATTAACAAATAATCTACTTAATTAAGATTAAAACATAAAACTTGTACTAAAATATGGGCATTGACACTTTACAATACCTCACCTTCGCATTGTATGTTTACATTTTACAAAGTTTTTTGACATTAATTATTGATAGTCTTTGTCAATATAGATCCTATTTAAGTAAAAGAAATATTGAAAAAATCATATTTTGATATATAAATTTTAGAACATGTTAAGAGTATCCCACATCGGAACTTGAAGAGAAAAATAACCCGGTATATAAACCCTTGAGTTAAACTAACTAACTGATTGGATTCAATCGTTTAATGTGGTTCGACCCAAGTGTTTTATTACCCAATCCAGTTTTCCATACCCATCCCAAATTCTATCATGGTATTGGAGCAGGTTTTGGCCCACCTCGTTTGTCAAGGTGTCCGTCTAGACGTTCATTTCTTGCGGCTCGTTTGTCTTTAGCCTAGTTATCCGTATGGAGTATGTACCCAACGGCCTGTGTCCTGTTTGACCCGATTGCACGTCTGGAAGTCCATACCCAGCGGCTCGTGATCCTTTAGGTGTTGGCACTAAAAAAAAGTCAAGGGAATGGGAGTTCATTTGGTTAGATTCAAAATGGCCCGATTGTCCACTTGAGGGGGAGTGTTAAGAGTATCCCACATCGGAACTTGAAGAGAAAAATAACCCGGTATATAAACCCTTGAGTTAAACTAACTAATCGATTGGATTCAATCTTTTAATGTGGTTCGACCCAAGTGTCTTATTACCCAATCCAGTTTTCCATACTCATCCTAGGTTCTATCAGAACATATTTTAGCTTTAATAAAATAGTTCTTTCAATATTAATTAGGGTAAACTCCCTTCATCCATAATTTTCTTTCTCATTTTGACTTTGCACGCTTATTAAGAGAATTTAAAAAAGTATAAAGATGTTCTATGTTTGTCCTTGATTTCATGAAATAAAGTAAGACAAGTTCTATGGTAAACCTTATAGACTTGCATATGAATAAAATAAGTACTCCCTCCGTTCCCAATTTGATTACAAATTGTGGTTTACGGGGAAAAATATATTATTTTTTGAAATCATTATATTTACAAATCGAAATATCAATAAGAAATAAAAATTACATATTATAAACTACATAAAAAATTTTATAAAATAAAAGGTGACAAGAATATTTTATTTTATCAAATACTTAGTGAAATCCTGAAATAAAAAAAATATAGAGAGGAGAGAAAAAAACTGTAAATAAATGGAGACGGGGGAGTATTTCTCTACTAACTTAGATAATCATTTGTTTTTTCAAATAAAAAAAAGAGTTTTTATATGAGACTGTCCACAAAATTCATATGCACCCAAGGTGTACAAAAAAACCACTCATAAAGTAAATAATGTACATAAAAAGTATGCGCATAATGATACATTCATTTTTTGCCAAAATAGGAAATATGTAGAAATTTGTGGATGGTCTAAAAAGAAAAGTGAAAAAAGAATTAATGTACAAAGAGAGTACAAAAAGATGATTAAGGCTCTGTTCCGCATGACTTTTATTTTTCTACTAATTACTTATTCTCACTAAAACCAGATCGGTAGGACTTAATGAGATCAGATCCAATCGAATTCGACAAGGACAAAAATATTAAAAATATTATTAATATCTTTCAAGGATTATAATAATTATCATTTGATTAAATCACATTACTTTATTTTAAGCTAAATACACCTAAATATTAATTAATATTATAACTTTGATTATGATTAATATTATTATTATTTCAACTACAACCCATTATTACTAGTAATTGCTTAGCTTGTAGGAATGATGCATGGAAATAATGTAAAGACTTAAAAAACTATATTTTTTATACTGTAAAAGAGACGTTTTTAAAAATATTTTTTAAAGACTAATACTTGTTTGTATAAGAATTACACAAAACTTAATTTTTAAAACCATAAATATTTTTATACTTAAAAAGACCCATTTAAAACTTAAAAACACTATAGTATACACAAGAGTGAGTTTAAGAAAAAATTAATCAAGACTTAGATCATATGAATATCTATCTCGATAAACTTTAAAATGTTATAACATCCATATTTTCTAATATTTGGTTATTTTAATACCGAGTAGTAATACACTATCTTCACAATATATTAAATTTATTATTCCATTTTCATAAAATTTAAAAAGTAGTGATATGGAAAAGATATTTAGTATTTTAGTGAAAATCATTGTTTTACTTTTTCTATGTGTATATTAATTGTAATACTTCAAAATTATGAAATTATTGTAATAACTTAAAGTTTAATTCAAGGGAGAAAGACCAAAGTAGGACTAAAACATTGAAGATGTACCAAAATAGGACTTCCATGTTTTTATTCCCGAAATAAGACTTACATTACCAAACATGGTCATATACATTACCAAGAAAGTATAGTAATTTGCACATGTACAAAGTCATATTACCACAATGCAAAGTCATATTACCACAATGCAAAGTCCTATTCCGAGAAAAAACATGAAAGTCCTATTTTGGTATTTTTCTCTATGTTTTAGTCCTATTTAGGCTGATTTCTATTAATTCAAATCAAATTTAAATTTAATTACACCAGGTCTAATCAAATCAGAATTTCAAAAGTTCAAATCAGATTCAATGAGATCAAACGTACGAAACATAGCTTAAGAAAGATAAAATTTGAGGATTATTTATGATCAATTATTTGCTAAATAAATGCTGTTTGTACACCACTCAAGTGTACAACATGACGACATATCAAACTAAAGTTTCACGATCAGAATTGGTACCACGTAAAATCTCATACTGAACTGAAATATTTGATACCGTATCTGTACGTGCTAGACATCGTTCCATAACGCACCATGCTCATCTCTAGTAGTTACTCCCTCCGTCCCAGTATATTTGTCCAGTTTGACTTTTTCGAGTCAAACAGTAAAGATTTTGAGCTTAAATTGCTCTCATAACGTAATATATTTTAGTATTAAATAGATTTAATTAGATTTTTGTTATCAAGAATTTTTAAGATTATATTTCATTATATTACTCCCTCCGTCATATAATGATCTTCCCGGTCCGCAAAACGAAAAAAAATCCCAAGTTTTTTCAATCTATTTTATTTAAATATTGGTATAGAAATAAAATATAAAACATACATATTTAAAAACTACACCAAAAGTTCAACAAAACAAGTGGTGACAAGAATATTTTATTTTATCATATAGGCCATGAAAAAACACAAATAAACATAAATTCCCGTGAAGTTGGAATAGTGCTCTGGGAAGATCATTATAGGACGGAGGGAGTAATATACAATACAAGTTGAGAAAAATTAAAATTTAAAATTTATCTAGTTTAATTCAAAAAAATGAAACTAATAAACAGGAGGAGGACGGAGTACAATTTGTTTGGACAAAAAAGAGGGGGAATATGCATTTTCAGTTTTCTTTTTGGCAAAAGCCATTGGCGATCACACAAAAAAAGTGAAGATGTTGTTGATAAGAGGCATGCAGTGGATAGCCAAGTCAGAGACTATGGGATTCGACACGACCTGCCATTGGTTCAAAACATCTTCTCCTCGATAAGATAAGGCCCCACAATCCTAAAAAACATCCCCACACACTTTCCTTCGTCACATTATGGAACACCCCACTAAATATATTGGATTATGCTATGTGTACTCCAAGATTTGTACCCGCAGTTTTGCACCAACATTTTGTGTTGGTGTAAAACTAATTTTTGTTAAACGCACCAACATTTGTGTCCGTGTGAATTTTTATTAACGCACCAACACTTGTGTCGGTGTAAACCATCGAAATGTTTGTGCAAACCTGTGGTGTACAAATGGGGTATATTTGTTGGTGTAAGTGTAGCATGGTCCAAATATATTACTCCATAATTGTATCCAAATAAAAATTATTTATAAAGGATGAAGGCGGATCCGGCCAAACGGTCACCTTTATCACAGATTAGTAACAAAGAGGAGAGTTTGCACCTGGTATTTGTAGAGACCATATGCTTAGCATAATTGCCTCTCGGGTCTTACTCCTTTGACACCCTTGTCTTGCCAACTGCGCAACGTTCACTGTCAATAAAAAGATTTGTTATTTGTGTGTATTTGTAATACATTTAATAAAAAAATAAAGGTGACGGGGCATCAAATCACAAATATAGAACTTTATTATTTTTGAAATTCACCATCAGAATAAATTTGTCTCAAATAATCTATAAGGGAAAAGTTAAATTTAAAAATGGTAAGTTTATAAATTTTATATAATTTTGGTTAGTGACTTTAGGGGCTGTTTGGCAACTTCTGAATGGGTAAGTGCTGAACCAGTAAGAGGTCTGAATCATTAAGTGTTGAACCAGTAAGAGGTATGAACCATTAAGAGCTAGTATATTGCTTAACTATTCAGAGGCAAATGTCTGATCAATTCAGATAACAGCTCTTAACCATTCAGACTCTGTATAATACTTAACCATTCAGAGGCAAATCTCTTAACCATTCAGATATATGAACCATTAAGAGGCTGAAACAAACAGTCTGAACCATTAAGTGCTGAATCATTCAGACATCTGAACCATTAAGAGGCTGAAACAAACAGCCAATTTTTGTCTTTTTAATGATTTAATTGGGGCAATACTTCGCCAGTAGCTCACTTCCGGACCAAAACATACACGCTGTCTGTCTCGCTGGTCGGATGGAGTCTCGCGTCCTCACCGCCGCACGCGGCCTCCCCCTCCTGCGGAAGTCACCGGCAGCGCCGAGGTGCGCCGCCTTCAGCTTCCCCGCCGCGAACCCATCCGGAGCTTGCCGCGTCGATGCCGGGAAATGGGTATCGGGGCGGCCCTTCATGCCCGCTACTCTGCTCCAGACTTCCCCGGCTAGCTCTCTCACGCCGATTAGGAAGTCGGGGATTCTCCGCCGCTTTCCGGCCGCCGCGGCGGAAAGCAGCGACTCCGGGTAACTCCTCTCTCCCGGGCACTGCATTCCCTGACCCGACCCGACCCGACCCGAATTCTACTGACCCGAGGTTTTTTGCAGGGATGCCAAGGTCGCTCCGGTCGGGTTCGTGCAGAAATACCCGACGCTCGTGACCGGGTTCTTCTTTTTCATGTGGTATGCTCCGTGATCCCTCCGTTTTATTTTAACGGTCCCGTCCGTTAACTGCATGAAATGACCAAATTATCCCCGTCTTCTGTAGGTATTTTCTGAATGTGATATTCAACATTATCAACAAGAAGATCTACAATTACTTCCCTTATCCTTAGTGAGTACTGTACATCTTCATTACTTTCTTTTCCTATACTCTTTTATTTTTATTATTTAGTTCTTTAATTATTTATTTATTTATGTAATTATTTATTTATTGCACTTATGATAAATATATAAACAATGGGTTGGATGCAGTTTTGTGTCTGTTGTACATTTGGCTGTTGGAGTGGTGTATTGCTTGGTGAGCTGGTCTGTAGGCCTCCCTAAGAGAGCTGTAAGTTCTCCATTTCAATTTATTTAAGCCTTGTTTGGGAACAACTTTTTTAGTTATCCTTACCTTTTTGAATAATTTTTTTAATGGTACTGACTAACTTTAAAAACGCTGAAGCGAATCGCTGTCATTAAATAGTTTTTTCAAAACGTTAAAGCGGAATGCTGAAGTTGTTGCCAAACGAGCCCATAGTTAGGCTCTGTTTGGTTCAGGTGAACTAAAGTAAACCTGATGAGTTTGGAAAGAGGTCCTTCAACCCAATTCAATAGAGTTTATACTAAAAGATTGAATCCAAAACCATTTTGACATTTATTATGAGTTTCTTGATGTCTGAACTTATTGTTATGTCTATCTCCCGAATCATTTCGTGAAGCCAATTGACTCCAAAGTCCTAAAGCTGCTCATCCCGGTCGCTGTGTGTCATGCACTTGGCCATGTCACTAGCAATGTCTCATTTGCTGCCGTTGCTGTCTCCTTCACCCACACAATCAAAGGCGCGTTTTTCGTCTCTCTGAGAATGAAAATGGAGTTTTAATTTTATGATTTGCATTGTTGATTGACAAGTAATAACAAGGTGTTGTTTTGGTGCAGCTCTCGAGCCATTCTTCAATGCTGCTGCTTCTCAGTTCATACTTGGCCAACAAATACCCATTACATTATGGCTCTCACTCGCCCCCGTTGTTGTTGGTTAGCTCCCGTTGTCTGGCCTTTCATAATCTTCATCAAATGGTTATGTTCATGGAAGAACTACCTAACTAAGACTAAAACACGTTACATATACCAAAATAGGACTTTCAATGTTCTTGTACCAAAACAGGACCTGTAATGCCAAAGAGTGTCAATATATAATGCCAAAAAACACTATGTAATGTCAACATACAATACCAAGTTGTGGTTTTGCACCGTGTGAACGCTCCTATTTGGGGATAAAAGCATAAGACGTCCTTTTTTGCTATGAGTTCAATGCTTTAGTCCTGTTTAGGTAGATTCCTATATGCTTATAGATGTCTGCTTTTTTTTCACCTTTTTTTTACCATGATTGAGTGCAGGCGTGTCGGTGGCATCACTGACTGAGCTTTCTTTCAACTGGACGGGATTTATTAGCGCGATGATCTCAAACATCTCCTTCACATACAGGAGTATCTACTCCAAAAAAGCCATGGTTGGATCAGTTTCAACAGTGTTTGGAATGTGACAAAGCTTATTACTTTCAAATTCTCATTTTTACCCTTTTGTTTGCAGACCGATATGGATAGCACCAATGTGTACGCCTACATTTCCATCATTGCCCTTATCGTCTGCATCCCACCAGCATTGATTGTGAGTGAAAAGAGATGAAACAAACATCATAGCGGCGATTTTTTATTTATGAATTTCTTTCATCGTTTTATTTATTTATTTATTTATTTTCATCAACTGCAATGACACAGTTTGAGGGACCTCAGCTGATGAAGCATGGATTTAACGATGCAATTGCGAAAGTGGGTCTAACCAAATTTCTGTCGGATCTTTTCTGGGTCGGAATGTTTTACCACTTGTACAATCAGGTACATATATTTTGATCATCCGAAAGAGGCAAAAATTTGTGTTAATTACCTCCAAGAAAGGATTTGTGATTCCCAAGTGTGCTTATATATAACCTTAATGTTTGTGTTTTCTTTTCCACTGCAGATTGCCACAAATACCCTCGAGAGGGTGGCGCCTCTCACCCATGCAGTTGGGAATGTGTTGAAACGCGTTTTTGTCATTGGATTCTCAATCATCGTCTTTGGTAAGAGAAAAAAACACATAATAAATCCCTCCCACACCATTTATTATGCTACATTTGTCCACTAATAATTTAAAGAAAAAGAAAAAAACCAATATATTGATCTTCTTTTTTGGCAGGTAACAAGATTTCAACGCAAACTGGCATAGGGACCTGCATTGCGATTGCTGGAGTTGCACTCTACTCCTTCATCAAGGCCAAAATGGAAGAAGAAAAACGGGTAAAGAAAACGACCACTATCTTCAACTCGCATTTCATACGTTCAACTATTTTACGCTCATAATCTTTGAAGCATATATAAAATGGGCGCCATATATTTTCTTTTCTTGGATCTTTGTGCAGAAATTGAAATCTGCCTGAAGTGGTGGAGAGCATATATGGATGTTAAAGAAACTGTGACAGTGGGGTTTTGATTTTGTGTGATTTTCCATCAAATAAAACTGAAAACCGAAAAAAAATTGAAACAATAATCGAGTATTGAGATCTGTAATTGTGTAGTTATTATTCTGCAATGGTTGCAATACTGTACTCCATTAAGTGTTTACCTCTTCTTTTCCTTTGAAAACACTGCATCTGCATCCTCTCTAACAAATTATAGGGATGTTTGGCAGCCAGATTATTGTAAAGTTGGTTTTTTTTGTTTGGACCAAAGGAGTTTTTTTAAGGTAGTTTTTAGGCACTGTTTTCTAACTCTGAAACCAAGCTCTCAGAAAGCACAAAATAGTGTTTTTTTTCAGACTGCACCAAAACTATTAGCTAGCTTCCATGTTAAAAGGTAACCAACTAAAAACCATTTGATTCCCTGATTAGCAAGGAAATGAAGAGCGAAAGGAAATCTATTGCTAGACAAGGCAAGAATAATACTATCAGGACTATTAGAGATAATAGGAAATAGAATATGGTGCATGTTTTTTGCCGATGACATCATTCTTATGAGTATGGTAAATCACGAGAAGATTTGAATCAGAAGTTGGATTCATGGAGGCAGGCTTTAGAGTTGCATGGCTTGTGTGTAAGTCGCACTAAAACAAAGTATATGGAGTGCAAGTCTGGCAACAGAAGGAGAGACACTAACATCGAGGTGGAAGTTGGAGAAAATTTTATACCACAAGTAAATAGATTTAATTATCTTGGGTGTATCACTCAAAACAATGGAGAAATAGAGAATGATGTTAATCACAAGACTCAAGCAGGTTGGTCAAAATGACGGAGTGCTTCGAGCTTTATATGTGACAAAAAAGTACTTTTAAAACTAAAACAAAAAATTTACCGTACTCCTACCAGCTGTATTGTATTAGACAGAGTTTTGGGCAGCAAAAGGTGAGCATGAACACAAGGTTAGTGTGGCGGAAATGAAAATGCTTCACTTGATGAGCGGTCATACCCGTATGAGATCTAAAGTTGGAGTGTCACCTATTGTAGGAAAACAGTGGAAACTCGTCTTATGTGTTTTGGACATCTGAAGAGAAGACCAATAAAGCATCTTGTGAGAAGGGTTGATCAAGAGAATATGCATGTGACTGAAGGAAGAGGTAGACCCAAGAAAACTTGGCAAGCATTGATCAAGGGAGACCTTCGCGTGAACAATCTTACAGTAGATATGAGACACGATAAGACACAATGACATTATTTGATCCATGTAGCCGACGTCACCTAGTGAGGTAAGACTTTGTTGTTGTTACAATAGTCATTGTTTTATTATGATTAGAATTCTCTTTTATAAGATAAACTATTATCAAATAGTATAAAATACAAATAGAAAATATATTCGCAAATTATATCTTTTCAAACGGCCCGGTTCCATGGCCACTGGAATCTAGTGGCCACGGAAGCCACTCTCTCCCTACAGAACTCCGTTCATAAAATTGATGAATCCTGCCCTCTCTAACCCCCGGTAAACCCCCCCCCCAAGTCCCGACCCAAACTAATCACCNGGCCACTAGATTCCAGTGGCCATGGAACCGAGCCGCTTTTCAAATACTTTCCTTCGAGTTGGAACATGTAAGAAATAAATCAATAAATACCTTTCAAATGAGATATTTGGCCATATGGATAAGCCCAACAAATATTTTTTGGCCCGTCAAGTCTCTTGTGCCTCGTGGGGTTGAGCCATAGCAAGGAGGCCCGCCACATTACTTAAGTTCACACTCTCCCTGTTCCAAAATCCAAAGAGATGTTACATATTTTTTTTTTGAGTTCATACTCTCACTGTTTCAAAAAGCATGTTACATTATACAAAAAAAAATAAAATATTAATTTTTTTAAAACTTATTTTATTTAAAATTTTGTTAAGAAATACTGCGAGTAAAAATAAAACTTAAATATATAAAAACTAGGTCAAGATCAAAAATTCTACTAAACAAGAAGTAACAAAAATATTTTATTTTATCAAATAACCAATCAAATTGCATAGATGAAAAATTTGTGTAATTTTTAAATAGTGAAATATGACATTTTATAGGAGGGAAGAAGTATTATTTTTTGGTGGTTCTTCTTGTTGTTGTTGAGTCTAAGGCCAATTGTTATCTTAGGACCTAATCCTTTTTTTAAGGTTCTAATCCATTAACTTCAAAAAGGATTATTAAAAAAGAGTGTTTTATTAAGGATTTGAAGTCCATACAACAACACAATATAATATATGAATTTTCTCACATTAGTATATTTAAAAAATACTACTCCACTTACATAAATATAACATTATGAAAATGCTTATATAGTTACAAATAACGTCTATGAAAATCTAGGTAGAGCTTAAATCCATCCAAGAATTTACCGACTTGATATCTGGAGACTTTTGGTGCACCATTGTTGTATTTTTCTTCCATCTCTTTTTTACTGACTTTTTTGTACGAGTATATTTTTTCTTCTAATTAGTAAAAAATTAACTAAATAAATAATACCACTTACGCTTCTGAGTATTTGTTTAATTTTAATTTTTTACAGTCAACAGCAACGAAAACAATCGAGTAGAATCTCACGTACAAAAATAGAGTGTGAGGAAGGTTTGTGTGTGCAGACCTTACCCCTAGTCGAAAGTAGAGAGGCTGTTGACAAATTTTGACCATTAATTAAATAAAATTGATATAGACACTAATAGAAAAATAGTTTTATTAGATTTATTTTATTTAATATTTTCAAAATATTTTTTTCTAATTAATATGTCATATAATTTTTATCTGGTTCTAGGTCAAATGTTGAAAGTAATTAAATGTAAAAAGTCAAAACTAGAAAATATTTAGAGCGAGACAAGATATTGGGGAATATATGCCTTTTTTTAGACAAATACTCCGATCCCTCCGTTCCATAAAACCTTTTCCCTTTCGTTTTTTTTTTTTTGAATTTCCTAAGGAGGTGCATGGATTTCAAATTAAGCTTTGTTATGAATGAGAAAAATTTGACTCAAATCCAAATTCAAAATTTTTAAGTTTCCCAAACATGGAATTTGAGCCACATCCGGATTTGAAATCCAAATCCATGTTTCCAAACATACCATAAAATACTTCCACTTTCTATTAAAAACCACTTTTACCCTTACTTTTTCATACCCTACCTATCACATCATACTTTTTCACTAATAACCAAACTATCAAATCTTACTTTTACCAATCAAATCAGGGGCAAAATTGGAAAGTCAACCAAAATTACATTTTCCTTATTTTTGCCCAAAATCAAAAGTAGAAGGGTTTAAAGGAACGGAGAGAGTAGTATTTTAAATAAGCATTTGCTTATTCTTAAGATAACAATTTTTAATTTCTTTTAAAGAAAAAAAATAAATAACTCATTTAGATTTTGTGGATTTAAGTCCACAATATAGAATTTTTACTCTCTCTAATAATGTTTCTTCCCCCACTCTTAGGTCAATCATATCCTAGATAAAGCGCGCCGTATCGTTCCCGGCTTTGATTTTTTTTTTCTTCACGACCAAATAAATCTTTTTTTGCCGCTAATCACGCGTCCAAAGAATACTAATCCGTAATAATAAGAAATATGTGCACTAAACCGACATAATGGCCGACGCCGTCGAAAGAAAGATGTCTTCCTAGTTCCTACCGACCCGTATTACTGAATCTAAACCGGTCTAGGAACAGCCAGTCGAAATAAAACCATGCGGTTCGAGAGGAGTTGTTAGGGCGACTGCAAAATTTTTACTTCCAAAATGGGCATGTCTTAATAACTTTTTTTCTCTTTATAGTGTAAAATATTTTTTATTTTTTAATATAAAAAGTGGATGCTTATTTAAGTAATAAAAATACTTATTTTCCTCATATTTAAGTAATAAAAATACCATAGAAATTGGAACAGTGGACTTGGAAGAGGCTTTGTAAAAATATCTTGATTTGTCCCATTAAACTTTTCAAAGTAAAAAAAAATGTATAATTTTCATATTAGTTTTTAGTTTTGTCTTTAGTTTATAATAGGGTGGGATATGATCTATATGATAAATAAGTCATAACTAAAAATTATATCAAATTTATATACTTTTTTAACGCGGGCCAATTTTTAATTTTGAAAAGTCTTATATGAGGGAGGAAGTATGATTGTTAATAAAGGGAAAAAAAGTCAAAAAGATGAAGGCACAACCCATATATTTGGGTGATTATCATTCATTATTGTTGGACATTAGTACCTAAAATAAGCAACTTTCTTTTGGTGTCAAATATTCCTTGTAAAAGTGCAACTTAAATGTGAATAGCACACATATTTTTCTTCAATTCAAATCAGAGACGAGTATTGCAAGAGTCCCAAACAATTTGGACACAAACTACACAAACTTATCATTTGTGTATTTAAATTTTTACTACCTCCGTTTCTTAAAAGAGTTCCTCTTTTGACTTTGGGAGAAAATAAGGAAGTTTTAAATTGTAGTTGACTTTCCAATTTTGTTCTTGATGTGATGAGTAAAAGTAAGATGTGATAGTTTAGTTGTTAGTGAAAAAGTATGATGTGATAGGTAGGGTATGAAAAAGTATGAGTAAAAGTGGCTTTTTAATAGAAAGGGGAAGTGTTTTAAGAAAAACAAAAAAATGAAAGAGGAAGGGTTTAAGAAACGGAGAGAGTATTTTTTAATTTCTTAAAATCATTACACACTGTAAGTTTGTGTCTAAATTGTTTGTGACGCTAGTGGGAGGTGGGGTGGGATTATTTGCCTATATAAGCAAAGAGAATCACTTAGTTGATCACCATCATCATCTATTATTATCTCTATCCATCCATCTCAATAATGGCTTCTTATTCCTCAGCAAGATGCATCACCTTTTATTATTTTCACCTCCTCCTCCTGTCCCAACTCCTACTCCGCCACCTCCACACCGCATCCGCCCGCGGCGGCGTCTATTTCAACAAATTCCCCAACAATGACGGCCCTGCTCCACCGGCGCAGAAGACGATGGACACATCCTCCGATGATTTGCCTAGCTTCACTCAAGAAAATGAAGAGCTTTATAATAACAATAATAAGTACAATAACAAGCATGACACTCCCCCGTCTACAGCGCCGCCGCCGCCCACTCTCCCGTGGAACTACAACGACGTGGCATACGTCACATCCGCGAAGCCAACCGAGGAGGAGGACATTGCTAATCATAATTATTATAATAATTATGCTCAAAGCACCCCTACCAAATCGCCGCCGCCGCCCCACACTACCGCCAGGCCCTACAGTACTACTAGAAACTCGCCGCGCTCTCCCCCCACCCCCAAGCCCAGCACCGCCACGCCCGGAACTCCAAGGCTCCCGTGGAACTACAACGAAAAAGAATACATCACATCCGCGGAGCCAACAAATGACAAGGAGGAGAATCATTATAATAATTATTATGCTCAAAGCACCCGCGGCGGCGGCGGCGTCCCCACTAAGAGACGGGAGACACCGCCCCCGAACCTCCCGTCCTACAACCGCAACTATTACCACCAGAAGGAGACGGAGGACGACGAGAGAAACGCCGCCGCCGCCAATAGCAATAAAAACTACTACTACTATAAGAATTACTTCCAGAACAAGGAGCAGCCCCAAGGGATGAGTGACACCAGATATGGACCAAACAAAAAGTACTACTATGATCCTAATGCTGCTGCAAACATATTTGATGATGAAGACGACTTGCCATGATCGTCGTCGTCATTCATATGCATGCATGCATGGCCTATGTCTTCTTTTAATTTTATGATCTTCCTTCTCATTGTGGTCTGCTAGCTATATGTTATATATATATATATATATAGCTACCATTTTTATTATTATATAATGTTGTCCAGTTGTACGTGTGTTTTTGTGTGTGTGTTTAATGTGTAATCTCTTCATCAAAAAGAGTCTTTTGACTTTTGATATATATATATATATATATATATATATATATTGGTCATTATATGTACTATTGTCCTAACATGAAACGTGGTTGTTTGGTGTTTTAGTATGTACGTAGTACACTTTTCTTTCCTCCTAAGCTAGCTCGTTCCATCTCAAATTGTTACTAGTAGTTGTGGTTTCATTTTGATTAGCGGAATAGTGTGAACTAGGAACGAAGGCATATACTGACTATTTGATCCACAAAGCGGTCGACTAGTTATTAGTCGGGACTTGGTTTTAAATGAGGAGGAGGGCTAAAATTGGTTGTTTCTAAATAACTGATTGATTCTAAATAACTCATTATAGTCCTCGGAGTCACTTTTTTAATTGGTTGTTTCTAAATAATTGATTCAAAAAATCCTGCTACCTACCTTAGTGTGAATCAACTATTCCTAGAGGACTTTTTGTATCGGTTGAGCAACCGATGCAAAAAAGTATTTGCACCGATTGCATCGCGTCTACATTTTGCATCGGTTACGAACCGATTCAAAGGTTCAAAAACAACCGATACAAATAGTAATTCCTGTAGTAGTGATTCAAGGGGATGCAAGAGCTCCTTGGGGTGAGTGTAAGACCTCTCTAATTCGGTTGGTTTGGGAATTAGAGGGTGATTGTTGGAGTGCTAATTCCCGAGGTCCAGAAACAAGTAGGTTAAAGGATTGTTATTATATAAGTATTAGAGAGTTTTTTCTAACACTAATAATTCTATTATAATGTAGTATCTGTTCGTACATTCTAAAGTTAAAGTGTTTCTTGATATTATTTTAAAGCCAATGGTTCGAGTGCTTGAACCAGTCGTTCGACCAGTGAATTAGTACCTCGATCGGTTCGATCACCGGTTGAATTTTTAAAAGGGGAAGTTACTTAAATAGGACTAAAACATAATGACTTTCTCAATATAGGACCATATATTTTTATTTTCCAATGTAGGATCATTGATCATTATCCATTAGTACAGTCATTATTCAAATAAATATCCACCATCACTGAACATTATTTCTCTCACTGAACATTATTTACGGAATAAAAAAGTTTAAGCCCTACATTGAGAAATGACGTATGTTTTAGTCCTATTTAGTGCAAATTTTTCTTTTTAAAACTATGTTCTCTCATTTAAGTCCCTTTCCAAAAAAATAATTAAATATTACCTCCGTCTCCATTTGTCCAGTTTTGACTTTTTACAGTTAAAACTGACAAAATTTGACAACTAATTAAATAAAAACTCTAATTTGATATTGATACAAAAATAATTTTATTAAATTTATCTTATACTACTCCCTCCGTCCCATAAAGTGTTACCCATTTTGACTAAAGTTGAAATTAAGGGAGGGATAATTTTGTATTGACTTTCCAAAAATACCCTTGATGTGATGGGTAAAAGTAGGATGTGATGTGTAGATTATTAGAAAAAAGGTATGATGTGATAGGTAGGGTTTGAAAAAGTAAGGGATAAAATTGGTTTTTTAATAGAAATGGGTAAGGATGTTTTCAAAAATTGTCTTGTCTAGTTAATATGCCATACAATTCCTATTTAATTCGAGGTCAAAGGTAAAAAGTGATTCATTATAAAAGGTCAAAACTAGACAAATACTTTGAGATGGAATTAATAAGCAACTTATAAGATAAAAAAATAAGTATCAACACTTTACCAATAAGCACCGATACAGAGAAATACTTTGTACATATCAAACCGAATAAGAAATTGACTGGTACCCTGAATTTAATTATTACGTATAACAATGTAATATAAGTCATCTGAAGAATAGGACAGATGTAGATTACTAAATATGATGTGTTATTAATATGGAAGTCATTAATTAAAGTGGGGATATGTAGGGTAATTGGATTCTATTTGTATGGCCGGGTAAGACTCTTAGAGTGAATGCCTCTTTGTTGGGATTCGCGCGTTCTCACCCCAACCCCGCATTAATTACTATGATATTGTATGTTTTGGGTCAAGCCCTCACGGATTTGTTTTTGGGCACCTCCCAAAAGACTTCATACTAATGGGGTTGGGTGAACCTATATATTTTGGTTCATTTACTCATATACTTCCGGTGTGGGACTTGAAGGAATCCCAACAAACCTCCCCTCAACCAAGGACCACACAACTTCCGACCTCACCTCCAGCGGTAATCCATTTTTCCTTTTTTTATCTGCTAACCATCTTACACCGCCGCACACTCTTTGCGGAACACGCCGCCCGACCTCCTGTCGGGAAGACTTTCGACGCAAGGCTCGAACCGCAGATTTTTCCTTCACTGGGCTACACCATTTGATCCGCCAAATCATCTTGTACTGCCGTGGCTATAACTTCACGGGACACGCCGCCCAACCTCATCTCGTCGGGAAGACTTTCGACACAAGGCACCACCTGCAGATCCTCTTTCTTGGTCTTGGTCCTATTGTTACACCGTCACACCGAGATTTTTCCACACTACACAGTCCGCCTCACGCCCGCAAGAACCTGGGCTCTGATACCACATGTTGGGACTGCGCGTGCCCTCACCCCAACCCCGCAAGAACCTGGGCTCTGATACCACGCCGCCCGACCTCCTGTCGGGAAGACTTTCAACGCAAGGCTCGAACCGCAGATCTTTCCTTCGCTGGGCTACACCATTTGATCCGCCAAATCATCTTGTACTGCCGTGGCTATAACTTCACAGGACACGCCGCCCGACCTTATCTCGTCGGGAAGACTTTCGACACAAGGCACCACCTACAGATCCTCTTTCTTGGTCTTGGTCCTATTGTTACACCGTCATACCGAGATTTTTCCACACTACACAGTCCGCCTCACGCCCGCAAGAACCTGGGCTCTGATACCACATGTTGGGACTGCGCGTGCCCTCACCCCAACCCCGCATGAGTATGATATTGTCCGCTCTGGGCCAAGCCCTCACGGATTTGTTTTTGGGCACCTCTCAAAAGGCCTCATACTAATGGGGTTGGGTGAACCTATATATTTTGGTTCATTTACTCATATACTTCCGGTGTGGGATTTGGAGGAATCCCAACACTCTTGATATCCCGCCGAGAAATTCTATATTCACAAACAAAATAGTCACAACCTTCACAAACTTACTATTTGTAAACTTTAATAAAAATTTTAAATAGTCTAGAATAATTTTAAAATGAAAATTTAAATCATAAATGGTGAGTTTGTTAAGTTTGTGACCATTCTGTTTGTGAACGTAGCATTGCTCTATTCCGCCACTTATGCTTTTGTAATTAGGCTTGAGATATATCCCCTTTGTGTAGTGATGCATTTGTGGATTTTTTTGTCATTCTAATTAGGCTAAGATTCTTATAATCTTGTTTGTATTACTAATAGATTTGATTTGAGTAAATTCCATAATTGGTTTTTTCCCTATTTAGTTTTCTACTCCCTCCGTCCCATGAAACATGGGACTTTTGTTTTTTAGGAGGGATTTAAGGGAGTATATTTTGGTATTGAATTTCCAAAAATGTCCTTTGATGTGATGGGTAAAAGTATGATTTGATGGATAGATTATTAGTAAAAAGGTATGATTTGATAGTTAGGGTATGAAAAAGTAAGGGGTAAAAATGACTTTTTAATAGAAATGAGAAGTGTTTTGTGAGACGGATAAAAAAAGAAAGGAGAAAGGTTTCACGGGACGGAGGGAGTATTATCAAATATTACTTCGGTAGCCCTTTCTTTTCCTGACTGAGGATATGGCCCTAGATAGGAACCTTTGGAAAACTAGAATTAGAGTAGCTGGATAGGAGCTTGGTGTTGTAGAGGTTGTTTTGTAGTGTGTTGTATTCGTTTGGAATCTTATGCTATTGCTTGTACTTGTTGCTTGTACTTGGTGCTTTATCTGTGTTATACTGTGTTCCCTTCCATATATTTGTGCAGGTGGAGCCGGGGGTCTCTTGGAAACAGCCTCCCTACTTCCGAGTAAGGGCGAGGTCTGCGTACACACACCCTCCCCAGATCCTACTGTTGTGGGATTCACCTGGGTTGTTGTTGTTGTTGTTGGTAGCCCTTTCTTTTATGTGTATCTTTTCACAAATAGTCTTTTTTTGATCTTCTATCATGTTGGTGTAAATTTGAAAGCTAAAATTGTGATTTCACAATGATAATATATCTTTCTTGTCATACACAATTCCAAAGGTCTTTTATGATGCGCCGTTCGTGAATTACAGTTATTTTCAACTACAATCATAGTCTACAGATATGGTCGTTCGTAGGAATACTAGTCCACAATCATATTCATTATTTTTGTGTTATCTGTCTAACAAATATCAGAATACGCCACTGAACATAAGATCGATATCAAATTATACTTTTAGCATTTAAATTAACAACATGACAGAAGATCAAAAAAGAACTATGTGGGGAAAGATACTCATAAAAGAAGTATTACGAGGGTAATATTTGATAACAGATGACTAAATATGGAACCCCTTGTTATAAAGTACCAATTATGAAATTTACTCATTTGATTTCTTGATACATCGGTCTTCTTCTCTGATGCATTTTGTAGATAAGGCATTGTGTGTCCAGGGCATCTTATGTTTCTTCTGTGATGCATTGTGTTTCATGTGACACTGGTGATACATTTTGTAATCATTGAATTATGCATTTTGTAAGTACTCCGTGTGCTAAAAAGGTGCACTATATACCATTGGGTTTTTCTTCTAATTGGACTTGAGGTCATGCATTCTCCTTCTTATGTGATGCATTGTGTGTACTTGAATCTATTACCAGGACAATACAAATTTGAGAAAATATTTACCGCTCTACTATTTGAGCTAATGGGCAACAATTTATTTTTTCAGAGAGACTTTCATCTTGCACTTGGATATCTTAAATACTCATTTTAATATTTTAAAATATTCACCATTCAATGTGTCTCTATATAACCCATATTGAAATACCACTGAATATTTAAATGTATCATTGTTTGCAGAAAATTTACCATCTAGAATATATAGATGCATCATATTTGTGTCAAAAGAATTTTACCATCATATGCATCAACTTTGATTCTGAGACTGTAAAAGAATACCTTATCCTTCACGCACCTTGATTCTGAAAATACATTGTCTTTTTATTTTGATGCATTACATTGATATTGAGAATGCACAATATAATAGTAGAAAAACAAACAAAAAATAAAGAAAACAAAGTAAATAAAATCAACAATGTATCATGCAATGAACACCAAATTATCAAGTACCATTGTCAAGCCAACAATTTCTAACAGTATGAGAAACACTTTATTTGAGCAAAAAAAATGATGTGCACATCTATGCAAATAATCTTTTTAAAAAAATAGATGCAGTAGATATAAAAGATAATCAGAAACAATACCAACATACTATCTAATTAAAGTATCTACTGTACTCTCTGCAGCTTATATTAAAGTATCTTTTTTAAAAAAAAATAGATGCAATAGATATAAGCTGTATTTTGTTCTTGTCTCTCCATAATAAAACTACTCCCCTCTTCCCCATGTATGTAGCCAATACAATATTGGTGAACCACGTAAATCTGTTGTTGTGTTTTCGTGAGAGGATTTTTCGAAAATGGTTGGGAGAGAAAATACAATAAGATAGAACATAAACATTATAAAATGAGTATGTGATGTACCACCAAGCATCCATATGCATAAATTGGAAAAACGTAACCGTCACAATTATTCATACTAAACTACAATCTTCGAACACGGGCTGGGCGACTCAACCATTTGTGAAGAGTCATTTACTGGAGTGTTTGAATACTAACCTATAGTATTCGAATACGAGGGTGTCTACTAGGGGACTACCGCCCCCCAGACCCTGCTCCAAAGTGTCTAAAATCATAATATTACTATTAAACAAGTGTGTACTCCACAACTCTTAATGGTTTCATGTCTGATCTTTACATAAATTCAATTACACAAAATAGTTTGTATCGCCATGTCCGTGTCCACGTATTCCCGTACTCGTATAAGTGCAACATATAGCACAATTTAGATCCCTACAATTTCTACTTCATCTATTTTGCTGCATGCTAACAATACAATTGTTACAAGGGGAAATACACCTGACCTTCTTTGCCTTCTTTGATTCTATTGTCCAAATAAAGTTAAAAACACATTGAAATGGGAGTAAGAAGTTCACTGAATATAGATAAAAAAAATATGAATATTATCATCAGCTGACAAAAATGGGTATCTCGTGTGAAGTTTCAGAGCTCTGGTTAGTTCAAGTAAGCAGTGGAGGTCCATTTTCAGCGGCTGCTCGAGTGTTTTCTTGGCCAACATGATTTCTTGCCATTTGCACACCCCCGGGATGGGTTTTTGCCTTTGCATAAGGCGCCCCTCGAGCTGATCAAGACGTGAAACAATCAGTTCTCAGACAAATAAGTAAGTTAAGAAAAACCATGAAAGGTTTTTGTTTTTAGGTAATGTGAATCTGGAATGGACCATGTCCTTTACCTGCAATTCTTTGGGTACGAAGAATATTTTGCCTTCGTTTCCACCAAACAGTTAAGAATGTGAAGATTGCACACAATGCCACTGCAACCCCGACTCCAACCCCGACTTTGGCACCAGAAGAGAGATGAGGCCCACAAGATCTCAATCCGGGAATACCACATAGTCCCGCGTTATCGGTAAAGCTGCAAAACATTGACCCCTAGTAAGTATTTGGGCCGGTTTGGCAACAGCTTCAGCGTTTAGTTTTAGCGTTTTGAAAAAGATATCTAACAGCAACGTGTAACTTTAGCGTTTTCAAAGTAAATACGCATCGTTAAAAATTATCTAAAACGCTAATGCTAATTGAAAATGTTGTTCTCAAACAAGGCCTTTATCATATTAAGACTTTATCGTCTCGACAAGAAATTGAATAGTTGATTGTAGTTTTATATTTATGTATTCCATTTGGAGAACATTGGATCATCACCACGTGTATTGAATAAATTCACTCCATACTTCACTATGGTTAGTCAAATACACATGAAAACAATCCAACACTTAGAATAGAAAATTGGTTCATCAATAATTCTAAATAATGTGAACTGTAAGCCTTAACTTAAAAACCTAGACAATAAGGTGAAGATGAGGACTTTCTGATGTAGGATACGCTAAGAAATACCTCATCTCACCCAAAATCTTTGGCTTTTGGGTGAGATTTGAGAATTGATTTATATTTATACCCAATGCTTAAAAATCCATCAAAATCTACATTTTTAAAAATCCTTAAAAAACTATCAAATTTTTGAATACCATCATATTTAGGACTTTTTAAAATCTCAATTGAATACATTCAGATTTCAAATGACTTTAAAATCTGAATTGAATACCTACAGATTTTCAAAATTCAAAAAAATCCATCAGAATCCTGATTGAATACACCCCCTAAGTTCGCCTCAAATCAAGATTGAGATTCGAGACCACTTAAAACCCAATGGCAATAACAATAATAAATGGAAGAAAAAATCATACTTGAAGCTAGCCCTATGCAAAAGTCTTCCGCCCAATGCAGCAGGAACTCGTCCAGATAGGGAGTTGCCATTAAGATTTCTGTAACATGCTTAAGAATTTAGAGCTGACTTTATATACTCCATAGTATTTATTATTATCCTACGGAAAGATCGCGTATGTATAACTATCTTTCTTGTGTGCATATAAGCATCTTACAATATCTTTAATGAGGTCAATAGTCCTAAACTTTCTGGAATGGATCCATTGAAAAGATTATACGAAAGATCCCTGCCATTGAAATATTGAGTTAAGCCAGCATTTCAAAGTGAAGAAGAGTGAAGTTAAATTTTATTTATTTTCCTCAAACGTTGTTAATCAGTTCGATAAGAGTGATATCATAAGCAAACAATGAACTATACACAGAGATTTTACTTACAGCTTCTCTAGGCTAGTCACCGATCCAAGTGTTTGGGGAATGTGCCCTTGAATTCTATTTCCACTCAGATTTCTGTAAATGTAGAAGCACATATGAGATATATGTGATCCTTCTAAATCACTTGTATAGTAGTCATGGTTAAAGAAAATGAATCTTTGAAACTAGTTGTCTAGACCCTCATTCATATGATTATGTTTGGCTAATTCTTATATTGATACTGAAGTATCTGAACTTTGGTTGGCCATGTATTCTTTCCTTAAATCAGGCCTGAAAAAAAATGTTCTATTCAATTCTAGAAATTCCAATATCTCTTACAAGCTCTGAAGATGACGCAATTGGGAAATCTCGTTCGGTAAGAAACCCCGCAAACCTTGATTGTCCAGTGCCCTGATTGCATTTAAAATGTCACAGAACAAAAAGTGATTATGACAATTCTCCAAGAAAATAAAGCAAATGCATTTTTCTAATAAACTACTTTATAGTATTCAAGTTTGGAGACTCCATTAAGCATATAAATGTGAGTTTTTACTTTTTACTATATGGTTCGTGGGCAAAATGTATAATCTCCGACCTTGTGGAAAACAGGTTTTACTTGTTGAAGGTTAGTTCTTTCTCAGTGGCATAAAAGATGAATAATATACACTTGAGATATATTTATATTTACATGACATAAATGCTTAGAGACAGTAAAACTGTAAAAGATGGAGGACATACAGCCCATCAATGACCCATTTATTAGAAGCTTTGTCAAGTAGACAATCTGTTCCGCTCCATGGATGTTGCTGTGGAACACAAGGGTCGCCATTCCATCCCAGACGAAGTGGAAGTCCAAGTGCACTCTTCAGTTTCTGCAAGGCCTTCACTACAAAATCAAAAAAAAAAAGGTAAGGAAAAGCTGTTCTATTCATTTTCATCCATCAATTCATATGCACCTATGCAAAGAAGAAGTCATGGAAGGCAACACAAGTCCTTTTACAAATTAAACATGCAGCTAGAATGCCTAGTACAATGCAAAATATTAAATTCTAAACCTGTCCCGTGCATTTTACTTCTTATAACTGATCGGCAGATTCGTCACAGGTTCATACATAGCTTGAGGTAAATGTTGATTTTGACATTATCAATTTTGCAATGGAACATTTATGATAAAAACTACCTTAACTCATCAACATCTCATGATATTTTGCACGGAGTATTTCACAAGAAAACCTGGTCATATTGGAAATTTTGAAATTTAATAACATTACTCCTTTTGAAGGTTGGAACAAGAAGGGTATCCGGTGTAGAACATTGCTATCACGCTACTTTTCAGGAATTTATATCGTTGTAGTTCAAAAGTTGGTGATTAACTGACACTGTTAATTTCATGCCCCTGATTCCAAAACAGTTGGTAATGAAATGATGATGATTATGATGATGATGATGATGATGATGATTAAGCATATTGATCTACCTTCATCTGATACAGTTTTGGATTCAGCAGCTATAATCTCAAAAATCTCAATGGCATTGATTATAGCATAGCGTCCTTTGATAGCTTGCAATGTTATAGTCAAAGTCCTCCCATTGACTGCAACTGTCTTGTTAAGTACAACAGCAGTGTTAATACCACCTGCCATCTTCACAATGTCGAAATCTTGAAAAGCAGCACCCCCATTTATCATGATATCGATCACCCTTTGACCTTCTCCTGTAACAGAAGATGACTCAATCTCTGCAAAGTGAAACCAGACAGAGTAATTCCTGTTTGGCTCCACATCCACCGTGTACGTTAAATCTGGTTGGTCATCAGTACCAACAATAGCTGATTTGTAAATAGCCTCTGGATAAACATTTGGTCGAAGAGAGGCCTTTTTGACACTTTCTTGTGTGGATATCGAACGATCAGAGTCTTGACCAAATGTAGTGATCGAATTCCAGAAGCGGTCCCCACCCCAGAAGTCTCCGTGGTAGTCAACATCAAATTTTGATTTCTCAGCGCCACAGCTAAGTCTCCTATGAGTCCTTAGGATTTTTGCCTTAGGTCCTTCGGTACCAAAGTGGTACGCCCTATCGTCCACTTGGAGGATCTCGATAGCGAGTATTGTGGGGTCCCCATGGCCTGTGCTGTGAAAGCACAGCGAGGCGGTCCCATCTTCAAGAAACATAAGCGCTTCAACAAACGCTCTCTCGTCATCATTATTGGTCCAGCCAGATGGCATAGAATAAATTAAGGTTCCTTCAACAGACACATCAAACAGCGGTTCGCTGTCTAAAATTGGATCTATCACCAACCCAAAGTAAATCCTCACTGAGTAGTGTCCCCGTGGCACTCTCTTGATATCGTAGCAGTTTTCTGGTCCTGCTGACGATGGGAAGTACCGAACAGTTTCGAGTGGTGGGCTGATGAAACTGGAACGGGTCCCATTAATTGGAATTCCACCCGTATACGCAAAATCTTTATACCATAGAGTGTTTGTGGGTTTACTATGAACATTTGTCCTAGCTCCACAACTAATCCTCATCACATATGGTCCTGCAGTTCACACAACACAATTTGATTCTGAATAAGAATGCAGACTTAATTTATCAAACAATGTTATCAAAGCATAACTAGCAACAATGTATTAAGATGTGAGGTGATCCACTTGAGTAATTAAAGCTAATGAATCCAGTCTCAACATTCAAGCTCCATCTCGTAGCCATAATCTTAACAGAATAATCAGAATAAGCAGAACCAGTGTCCCTTTGGAAATACGGAGTAGTTATTTGGTTGAAATGGTTGGATTTGATCAACATTAAAAGGTTTTGTAACATTCATTTTGTAAGACTATAAAACCTTTCAAGCGCCTACAACCATAAGTTTGTACTTTTGGTTAAGTTGATTCTTTAACATGGTATCAAGGTTTTATTGACTTAAAGGTCACGAGTTCAAATCTCATTGTAACTCACTTTCAAAAAAAAATAATGTTCACATGGAGGCCTCCAACGGCAAGTGCGGTTCCTTGACACATTTCATCCAAATGGGTGAGTCAAAAGCTAATTATTCTCTTCAGAAGCAGAATCCGCCGAAATGAACTTACAAACAGAGCCCTAATCTCAAGACTTAAGCAAAATATTAGAGAATTCTACTGTTCATTTCCATCTCCGATCTGTTCCTCAGATCCAACCAAACAATTTACCTACCATCAAACTTAACCTAATGAAGCTACCTAAAAATTACAGACAAAACAGCTACACAATCTTCCCGGAAGCTAAATGAGAATCAAGCGCAGAGCTGAAATTAAAACGCCGCGCTGACACAAATGCATAATTAGATTACTTCAAACCAGCATAGAACTACTGGAGAAACACATAAACATATGATTGAGTAAGAAGGCGAAGAGTTCGAGAGATGACCAACTCCAGATGAGAGCTTGAAGGCGAAGCAGAGGGCGATGAAGATGGAGAAGAAGCGGTGCATTCTGGAACGGAACTTCATGGGATTCCTCCTTTGCTTGACTCAGATTCTCCTCATTTCATTTCCTTCCGGGGGAAAACGCGGCGAGAATGTGGAAGAAAAAAAACAAGCGCAGATAGCGGACGGGATGGGCAGCTTACCGGGAGAGTGAAGAGTAATTAATTAATCAATTAATGATGTAATGATAGTCAACGCTACATTAAACTAAAGTTAGTATCTTTGGTCATCAAATGGTTCCCTAAGTAGCAAAAGGTGCGCGTAGTTAGTGAGAATCTTGTGCTTAACAATCATAGTTAAATTTGATCTGTCAATAGTTTTTTACGTCCATTCGGTGAATGAATATACTTATATTTAAAATTATTTTTGATATGATCTTGCTTGATCGAATCTGATTCCGATAAAAATAAGTAATAAGTGAAAAAATTTAATTAAAGAGAACATGACCTAGATCACAATATATCTTAGTTTGATCTTTTGAAAGAACTACTCATATTCACACACACACAAATTTCATACTCCTTATTGTATAAAACTCTCACACTATTGGTTCTGAAAATCGATCCTGAAAGTAATAATTTAAAAAATATGACTGATGAAAGTGGAGTATTTTTCTATGTAGTCGTATGGGACTGAATTGAGAAATACGTACTTCGTCCCAAATGAAATAAGGACTTTGCTAAGTGTACATCATAATGTTGCATTGGTGTTTGATAATTCACACTAAGACAACATGTTATTTTTGAGACTGCACTAATATTTTGTGCAAGTTTGAGTGATTAAAGTACTAGTGCAAAACTGTGTGTACAAATTAAAATGATGTACAAAAGTTGTATATAAGTAGCATTATTGATGAAATAAATTGATGTTAAAACAATTAACGTTTTAAAATTTATGAATTTTATTTTATACGGAGTATAAAAAAAACTTATTGAAAAAATAAAGTTACATATTTAAAAATTACGTCAAAAAATTTACAAAAAAATGAACACGTAATTATTGTGAGTTGTAGATTAACATATGTACAAATCTGAATGATAGATACTTTTGAGTTGACTATATTCATTACTAAAATATCAAAGACAGTTTTAAATATGAAAAGGTGAATGTTTGAACATATATATGTGATTGATATTGCGAAGAAATTTTTTCTATGAGTTCTTTTATTGTGTCATGGTACCACTCAGCTTAATAGTTGAAGGTATAGACTTTTTCATCTTTCTACACGTACGTTTAAGAAAAAACAAATGTGGAGCCCATCTTAGAGGGCTGAGATAGAGGCGATGCGTGAACACTTACAAACTTACTATTTGAGTAAAATAAATTTATCACATGTTAAATTATGGGGTGACCATACTGTTGTAATCGCTTCCGCACTGTTTTAAATAATTTTACACTGATGTTACTCCAAAATATTTTACATATTTATTTTAAATAGAGTTTTAAATTGTGATATTACCAAATTAATACTTTAATCTGAAGGGGTTCTACACTTAGAGTAAACTTGAAGTACACTTTTAGGGTGTTACACTTAGAGTACACTTGGGGTACACTTTTGATGTACCCAAGTATTTTTCCCATAATATGATTTAGTTTTTCAATAAATACATCAATCATATTACAATACGGGATAATATTATACTACCTACTACGTCCCTGAGGGAATTTCAATGTGTGTGCGAGGGGGGGGGGGGGTCGCTGCGGTGCATGCCCCCCACAACTCGACGCGCCGCACTCCCACTGCAGCACCTCCACCGTAAAAACTGCCCCGCACTAAGCCTCGTTGAAAACCCGGTGGAATTTCGNGAATTTCGCGAGGGCCGCCTACTACAACGGTCCGCCGCAACACAATTCTGTTTTTTAATCCTATCGACTTTTAGCTTCTTCTTCCTTAGCCCCGATTCATTTTTTTCCATTTCATTTTTTTAATTTTAAACCCTTTTTTAATGTATTCAATTTTGATTTTTTTATTTCAATTTTATTTTTTTAATTTCAATAATTAATATTTAATTAATTTTAATCTTTTTATTTATTTTTTAATTTTGAATTTATTACTTTTATTTTATTTATTATTATTATTTATCTAGTTTTATTAATAAATAAGTATACACATTAAATTTATATAATTTTTTGAATTAATTATGATGGATATTGTAAAAGAAACGGAGAGACGAGTCTTCAAGACGGCGATAACATTGCAGGATTTTGGAGTGAGACGGAAAGTTAATGGAATACTCATTTGGTAGGAGTTGGGGGTAGATTTGCTCCCTCTTGTAAATGCTTTGAATATTTTATCTACTGACAGGACAATCAATCACTTTTAACCTTTGAGAAATAATTAAATAAAGGATTATTTGGTATGTCATTAGATGAAATAATATTTTTAAAATAAATATAATAAAATTATTTTTACATCAATATCTAATTTCAATTTTATTAAATTAATGATCAAAACTTATCAATTTTGACTACAATAAGTCAAACTAGACAAATACTCGAAATAGAGTAGCTACATTAGTGTTTTATAAATTAATGAACATTATATACTCCATATAGTTTGTAAAAAAATTGACTTATAATTTGACTTCATGAAATTTAAGAAAAATTTTGAATTTCAAATTTTTTATAAACATTTGAAAAATATTTTCCTCATATCAATTTAGAAGAGTGTGAATCTTAAAAACAGTGACATAGAAATAAAAAATAAAATAGTTTATAAACTATAGTTATTAACATAATAGTTTTAACAATAATAATGAAGATAATACTAATTATTATTATTATCATCATCATCACATTAAAAATACATCATTTTTAGAGTACTTGTTTGTAGAGAAGAAAGATCGAAGAAAATGAGAATAGTTGGAAAAAACATGAAGAAACTGGAAAGAATTGAAAAAAAACTGAAAGAATTGAAAGGAAATAAAAAAACTGGAATTTATCAAAAGTTAATAGTTTAAGTTTTAAACAACAAGCTCCTAAATATAGAAAATCTCCAGTTATAAAATACCATTTTTAAAATTTAGTTTGGGTTCACGCGCATGCCTCATATATACACCTATTCTCTCCGTCCTCAATTTGATTACAATTTTCTTTCTCTCTTCTCGATAATTTTTGTTTGTTTACGCGATTTAATTAATTATTTGATAAAATAAAATATTCTAGTCACCTCTTGGTTTGTAGAACTTTTGACGTAATTTTTTAATATGTAATTTCTATTTCTTATTGATATTCCGATTTGTAAATAAAATGATTTCAAAAAGTGAGATATTTCTCACCCCAATTTATAATCAAATTGAGGACGGAGGGAATACTTGATTTGGATGGATGAGGCTTGAACTTTTTTCTTTTTTCTTTCGTTTTTTTTCTATTGATTATTTAATCAACTTCCCAACAGGCACAAACCATTGGTCTTTTATTTATTACAAATTCATATCCACTCATGAACTAAAATTATTAAATCATAAAGGGAGGTCTTATTTTAAAGAATTAACATCGCAATTTAGTTATTTTTAAATAAGTGGGAGAAAAAGTCAAAATGGAAGAGTTATTCTAACGGAAATCACAAGTGATCACGAGCAATTTTAGGTGTAGTCTCATAATGTTATTTAACTAGACTATAAATTAAAGGATTGACAATTCATATTGATTTTTACCTTCACAATATTGTTAAGGTGCAAAAATGACAGACTGCTGGGATGACGTCATGGCTGGGCCTCACCCCTCTGGTGTCCTTGGCAAGCTTCGGAAGACTCTTACCCTCAAAATTGGTGCGTAACCTCTATTCTTGAATATTTGGACTTTGTTTTATTTTTTCGATCAAAATTGATAAATTTTGATTATATAGATATTAATACAAAAATATTCTTATATATCAAAAATTAAAAATAATTTACGGTAAAATGTCAAAACTAGACAATATTCGCGGACGGAGGCATTAGTCAGGGCCGACCCAAGGGTGGGCCGAGTAGGCCTACCAAACCGGGCCCAATAATTTAAAGGACCCAATTTTTTAAAATATTGTATACATATAAAAAAATTAAGATACACATTATTCTAAGGTGTAAAGTGAGAGTGGAACCTAGGTATTTTAAGATGTGTAGAGATGTTTTCACCCACTTAAGTTACTAAACTTCTTGTTACAAAAGTCACGCAATACGTTGATCTCATTAAAACTTCTAGTTATTTAGAAAAAGAAACATAAGTAGAATCTAATATACTTGTGTTATGCGCTTATTAAAATGTTCAAAAAATAATTAATTTTTTTTTGTTTTATCTAAAAATTAGTTTGAATTACGGAGTTACGTGTTACATATGAATTACGGAGTATTATATAAGAACACATTACCCAACGTTTACTTTTAAAAAATATGAGTATTGCCTAACTATTTTAGTATTCATTAGATATTCATTGCTTATCTTTAATAGTAAGAATAAATAATACAAATAAAAATAGAAAGTGTAATGGTATATGCAAAGTTATATTGAAAATTATATTGAAAACTAGATGGAAGAGTGAAAAAACACAAATTAAAATTCCTTATTAATTAAAAACATCTAATAATATAAATAAAATATCATTCTTTTAATTATAATTGACCCCCGGGTCGACTGATTAACCCTTGACCTACCAGCTCGTCTAGATCAATATTTGATCCGATTTTCAAGACATTAATTTGGGGAGATTAGTAGATATAAATCCTCACTATGATTTTGTCATTTACAGTTATTGTTATGATACTAGTATGCTAATTGTCATTTAAATATAATTATTTTGCACACTTTAATTCGTTAAGCCATTAGAGACAACAACTTTAGGGCTTTTTTTCCGTCTTGGCACAGGCCATCGAATTCTCAGGACCGGCCCTGGCATTAGCTTTTTTCCCACCCAAATTTTTTTAAACAGAAAGAATATAGAAATCACCCTAAATAGGAATAAAACATAGAGAATAGTACCAAAATATGACTTTCATGTTTTTTTTCCAAAATAGGACTTTACACTGTGGTAATGTGACACTGTACACGTGCACATTACTATACTTTTTTGGTAATGTACATGACTATGATTGGTAATGTAAGTCCTATTTCAGAAATAAAAGCATGAAAGTTCTAGTTCAGTATATTTTTAATGTTTTAGTCCCACTTTGGTGTTTCTCTCCAAAGAATAAGTATAGAAAACGCACACCAAATTCCTCCCACTATTACTCTTTATTAATGTGCGAGTGAGTTTTTTTGTAGTATTTGCCTCCAACTTCTTCAAAAAAATTGCACCAATTCTCTTTAAACTTCAAAAAAATTATACCAATCGATATATATATATATATATATGCATGCATGCGTGTGTAGATGATCATAGAGTCGCAGAAGGATCTTTAAGCAAGTCGATGCCGGCAAGCCCGGTGACACCAACGACGCCATCTCCCACGGCGGCGGCGGGTCGGAAAGATAACGTGTGGAGGAGTGTGTTCCACCCCGGAAGCAACCTCGCCACCAAGAACATCGGCGCCCAAGTCTTTGATAAGCCTAAGAATACCAACTCTCCCACGATTTATGATTGGTCAGCACAAATACACATATCTCCTTCTATTTAGTACTCCATATTTTTTTTTTGTTAATAATGAATTATTCTATATCTCATCCACCCTAATTTAAGTGTGCATTTTTTGAAATCTCATTTTTAAAAAAAATAAATTTGAAATGCTAGACAAATTCACACATTTATACATGTGTGAATTTATATATTGTGAATTTATATAATTACTCACTTATTTAATAAATGACATTGTTTTTTTTTTGAAAAAAAAATAATAAATGACAGTGTTGCTCCTAGAACTTTTTATATGTTTATATCAATGCTCCAACACTGATGGACCCACTAATAATAGATGATAGTGTTGCTCCTAGAATTTTTTATATTGTCTTTGATTATTTGATTAAATAAATAATCTTGTCACCACTTATTTTTTGTAGGTTGTATAGCGATGACACCCGGTCAAAGCATCATTGAATTGAATCGGGACTCCATGCATTTTGGTTGCTTGTCGTAGACCTCGTGCTCTCATTTTATCATGCTTCGGATCGTAATGATATTTTCTATGCATTGGTTTTAATTTTTCAGACTTGGTTCGTTGAAGCCTTAATTAGCGTTGCATTGTCAGTATTTTGAGATAGTGTATAAAAATAATATATTTAGTGAGTAACCATTTAAATGATTATTTTTTCATCACAATTTTTCAAGCACATAGAAGATTTGTCGGTTAAGTGTCTAAGTGCATTCAATAAATGTCATACTATGTAGGCATACGTCCATTGGTCGATTGAGTGTTTTTTTCCTCTATGAATTGGGAACATCGTTCGGCCGAGCTTAGCAGTTGCCATAGGCTTATAAATATTTCATGGCTCAATGTAAAAGCTAATAACAAATGATCAATTTTCCGGCATTGATTCAGTGCGTTTAACAAAGTATTTCTTTACGGCAGTAATGTTCTTTATTAGGGGCATTTAATACAAGTAATTAAAGTGTATGTTTCGTGGCTCAATGTAAAAAATATTGATAAAAAGTTGTGGTTCAAGAAATATTTTTAAAATATCGTGAACAGCTCACACGCGTGGCTCTAGGAGAATTGATTAACCCCTTTTTTCTTGAGGTTCACTTAAGGCTCTAGACTCAAGGGGCTTCGTGATTTGCCCATTGAGTGAATAATTTAATGTAGTGAATAATTGAATATGTCATCCAATTAATGGTTCGTGGCTTAATATAAAAAATAATGATAAAACTCCGTGGTTCAAGAAACATTTTTAAAATATCTTGGACAACTCATCATGTGTGTGGTTATAGGATAATTAAATGATGATCTTTTTCTTGAGATTCAATTAAGGCTCTAGACTCCAGGAACTTCGTGATTTACCCATTAAGAACGTAGCCTGTAGTTGAACGTGTTCATTTAACGGTTTATCGTCCAATATAATGATGTATCTAAATCTATCACATTATTTATTGGGGTGTCCTTTAAATCATGACATTTATAAACTTGATTTCATTTGATTTTCAAGAAAATTTTAAATTAATTATAGCCTCAAAAGTGATAAAAATATTCATTGTAATTAATTTTTTAAATACATTTAAAGAGTGTTGTGGAACATTCCATAAGTATTTTACCATTTTATAATTTTAAAGATTTAAAAATCTTCTTAATTATGTTCATACCTCAAAAGGTGTGAATATTTGGGACTGTTGCTCTTCCCCTGCGTGATTTAATGTGTCAGCCCATATAGGTATTTATTGGTTTCATCGGTAAAAAGCAAAACCTTGCCGCTTAAACACACCCCCATATGCCAAAGTCATAATGTCTTCATAGTTTCCCAAAAAGAAAGGTGTGAATGTTTGGGACTATTGCTCTTCCGTGCGTGATTTAATGTGTCGGCTGATATAGACATTTATTTGTTTCATCGGTGAAAAGAAAAACCTAGCCGCTTAAACACACACCCTATGTCAAGGTCATAATGTCTTCACAATTTTCCAAAAAGTTTGGGACAGAACAAAAATTCAATTAGGACGCTCATTCAAAAGTACCTTGTGAGAAATTCGATATTTTTTCTTGTAGTGAATTGCCTGTTTGGAAGTAGCTTATTTATTCTAACCATTCAATCTTTAGGAAGAATACCCTTACTTGATATATTTCTGTCCATACCCGTTGACCAATAGTTTCTTCACCCAACCCAAACCCGGCGTCTTTGGAGGGAAAATGCACTCTTCATTTTCTCCCTTTGCTTTTTTATAATAAAAGATGTATGTAATTCCTTTGACGAATAAGGAAGGTCTATTGTTTATGTTTTTCAAGTATGTAATGTGCGCCTTGAAACTTGATCGGTCTAGTTGAATTGATCAATTTAACTAATTAATTAGTGATTCAGACCCAAAAGTTGGATAACCATAAAGGTTTGTAATTAACTATCAAGTTTTAATATTTTGTAGAGTTGGATTGTCTGATTCCCTAAATTCAAATAGATTTGAAAACGGAGCACGTTTTCTTAGAAATTAGAATTTAAATCAAATCAGATAATTATTTTTGGGGCAAATATGATACTTCCTCTGTTTCTAAATACACTTCCTATTTTATTTTTTGCGCATCCCACAAAATGCTTCTACACCACCTAAAATATCTAAAATACCCCCAAAACAACTTTCACTCGTAATAAAGGAGAAATATGGTGAATTTAAGACATTATAGATCTATAAAGAAGTGTATTTGGGGATGCGCAAAAAATGAAACATAATTTTTTTTTAAAGATGGAGGGAGTATTACACTGTAAAACGTTAAACTACACATGCATGGCCAAGGAAATAGTCTAGAATTCAACCCTTCCAAATTCCAAACTCCACCCTTACACTATGTTTGGTTCAAGAAATTTGGAAAAAAATAAAAGAAAATAGTTTTCTTTCATTTTCCCCACCAAAATGGTAGTAATTTGATTTGTGAAATTTGCACTAAATAATACTAAAACATATGTCCTTTCAAATGTAGTATTTAAACTTTTTTATTCCCTAAATAGTACTTGAATAATGTTTAGTGGCGGGAACAATGTCGAGTAATGTTGAACATTTAGTTTGAACAATGTACATTGGCGATAGACATTTACTTGAACAATGACCAGTGGATATTGAACAATGGTACTACATTGAAAAATAAAAACATATGGTGCTACATTGGGAAAGTTACTATGTTTTATTGCTATTTAGGTAAATTCCCCATTTGATTTTCCCTCCTCTTAATATATTTTGTTTTCTCATTTCCTTTTCTTTCCATTTTTCTCTTCTTTTCCTCCAAATCCAAAAAAATGGTTTTCCATCTCATTTTCTTTTCTTTTGCATTTCAAATTCCTTGAACCAAACATATCGTTAGTAAAATAAATTCGTTGAGGGGGGAAACTAATGCAGACAATTCCTTTGAAGGAAGAATGTCGTGTTATCGGGCGATACAAATTGAATTTAATAAATAACTTGTTAGACTGAATTGCAGAATGATTTCGAGGGCGATGACGACCTTTACTAGTTAGGCCTTAAGTCTAATCGATAGAGCTGATGATTTACATTTGTAGGGGTCGGCAAAAAAACTGAACCAACATGGTACCATAGTGGTTCGTAATGGTACCGAACTATTTTTAATTTTTTAAAATGAGATTGATTTTTTCATCACGAACCGAAACAAAACCGATATCAAATGGGACAGGACGGTGATACAAATATTTAAAACTGATTATCACGAACTGAATCATTCAAAGCTATTTACGGAGTATCTCAAATACTTATTTGTTTACATCAAATTGCCATATAAGTATGTCTAAAGTAGTATTCTTTTTTATTATTCTTTCATTATTATTCTTGTTATTATACGTATTACTACTATGAGCATTATTTTTTGAAATTATTAATAGTTCGATATTGTATGAATTGAAGAATATTTTTTTAAATTTTGAATTGTTATCTTTTATTAGTTATGTTTATGATCCTTTTAAATTTGAAATCAGTACCTTTTTTTAACAAAGTTGTGCTTTTTTATACAAAATTATGCTTTTATTTTAATATCATTTCAGTAATGCATGTTTAATTTTTTGGCACGCCGGTTTGAGTATGGGTATGGACGTATGGTGTTGTACTGTTTCGTTTCAAAATGGAATGGCACCCCTAAGAGCGGTCCGTGATAGGTTCTAGTAATATCACGGACCGTGCCACCCCTATATATTTGGATCTCAAAATAACACAAACACGACTAGAATGACCTTACCCCTAGATGTTTCCATGACCCTTAGAACGATAAAACATGTATACGATTACTTTTGAAGAAATTTAGAATGAGGTAAGAATCACTGGATTGAGCCATACGATACTATTGGGTTGAACCGCATTAAAAGTTTGAATTCAATCGATTACTTTGTTCAACTTAAGAGCTTATATATCGATTTATTTTTTCTACAAGTTTCGATGTGGGACACCCTTTAACACTCCCCCTCAAGTGGATGACAAGGTCATTTTGAATCTAACTGGTTGACTACTTGCAAATAGACTCTCATCCCCTTGATTTTTTTTCAGAATCAATAACTAAAGGACCACGAGCCGCTGGGCATGGACTTCTAGACGAGCAATCGAGTTAAACAGGTTACTGGTCGTTGGATATACATTCCACATGGACCACTGGGCTAAAGACAACTTTCAAGCGTTGAAATCAAATCCCTAACTCGTGTGAGTTGGACGTTTGTCGTGAATATGATACTTTATCACATTAAGTCTTTGTTTGGATGAAAAAGGAAAGTGGAATGAAAGAAAATAATGAGAAAGAAAATGCGAGAAGAGAAAATGGTGAGAAAGTGGAAGGAAAAAAGTTATTGTTTGGATGATAGACTTGCTTCGTCGTTGGTGAAAGGACCGGGTTGAAGCTGAACTCGGGTCACAATTAATTGCCACTTTTCCATCACAATCGAAAAGCTCCCTTCCGTAAAGTTTGACCTTGATTTTGGAGAAAGAAACTTTTAGATCATATGCATTGATCTCGTAATTTCCAAATTGCTTGAAATTCTCTCTTCTTTCAATTTGGACCTTGAAATCAAATCATTATCACGAATCAGTCCAAATTTATATATTAAATGAATAATACAAATTGTAACACCCTAATTCGTCCAGGTCTGTAATCTCGTTCGAACTAAAGTATAAACTTGGTAATCATAAAATTTAAAACATTTCAAACATCTTTATTGCGGAAGCGTATTTAAAACATGTCACATGACATTCACAATTAAATTTTTATACCACACATCCATCACGACCGTCTCGCCTCATCTGTCTCTAAGAATTCATCATTTTATTTTTTTGTTTACCTGCATGTAGTAAATAAAACACACTACACGCTCAGCGATAAAGCTGAGTAAGCATATCTAATGCGTCGAACATCCATATAAATTGAATCTCAACTCATTATAAATCATTTTATATCATGCACATAATTTACAATTCAAGCATTTATCATTCATGATATTCACAATATTTTAATTCAAGATATTTCATGATACATACAATATTCTATATTCAGTATTTTAACAGCGCTATTAAATTATTCTTAATCTAAGGCCAAATCATTTTTATAATAAGCTCTTAGCTATTCCTAGTCTAAGGCAATATTTCTAACCGGAATCTTAAACTATAAATAGTTTAACGCAGAACACAGGAATCGATAATCCACCCTATGAGTCTTGTGGATTACGTACCAACCGAACCGTGAACTGTCTGGTGGGTGATATCTGGT